TCTCGACTTGGATTCTACCTTGGAGGTTACTTGGTGTGATGGAACAGGTGAAGAAGAGTCAACTTCTAGATCGCTAAGGTCCGTAAGGGGACTGTCACTATCTTCGTGCCCATTTGCGTCTATGAGGTCCTGAGCTCGTTTGGGAGTAGTCATAGAGATTGTATGATTCTCCCGGGACCAAGTACCATCCTGATATTTATAGGGAGGCACAAGTTGATTGTGGTCGGATATCCACTTTTCCCATTTTGACATGCTGGCGTCCCTATCGCCGGTGAACTTCTCACCGTGACTGTACAGGTTTTTCAACCAGCCCATGACCTGCTTGACTTGCAACTCCAAGCCTTGTCCACCAAGTTGCTCCACGGGTATCTCGAGCCAAACATGTTTCACCTGAATGCTTGCTCGAGTGTTGAAACGACAGAGTCCCAAAATAGTCAGGTTTTGGAGAATTTTCCGATCCTCCGCCGAAAACCAGTTTGAACGCTTGACTGTTTCCAGCTTGATGTATGGAACCGGGACATCTTGATTGTGGTCAGCCACCCACTGGTGCCATCTACTCATAGCAGCATCTTTGTCCATAATGGTCCGAGCCTTATTAGTAACAAAGGCAGCTACCGCGTTATGGTCTAGACCAAGACCCATTCCACCGCCCTGCTCGACCGGTACGTGAAGCCAGACGAGGTCAATTTGAGCCTGAGAAGCTAGGCTCTTTGGACGACAAAAACCCAAGGCTACCAGCCCCTCGAGTGCCTCCTCTTGCGCCTCAGTGTAGATGAACTTTGGTTGACGCATTGGGAGTTTGTATATGTTATGTTGTTGATTTTCGATAAATTAGATTTCAATAGCCAAATGGAAAGCTTTATGAGATATAATTGATGAAGGAGGTTGATCCAGGGGTTGTAAAGGAGGCCAGAATGGTAGGAAGATCTCAAGAGGGTACACACTGCTGAAGACAGTACTAACGTGTGGAAACAGTGGGAGCCAATGAAGGGTCGGAATGTGTGGAGAGGCTTGGAGCGTCTGAAAAGAGTGGCAAGACTGGTGCAGAGAAGATCTTGCGATGATCAACAGATCGTAAGCGGATGCTCAAGGAGAGGTAAGACGAAAGAGCGAGAGATGAAGTGCTGTGCTGTGCTGACTTTTCGCTGATCGTTGAGCAGTGAGGAATGTGAGCGATGTGGTAATCGTGGGAGAAAGAGGGGTAAAAGCACCAAACAAGATGGGGACTCAGGACAAGATAAGCGATGACTGATAAGAGACATATGCTGATAACGTCTCCGTGGAAAATCCAGCCTCAGACTAGATCCAGCTCAGCCGCAGTTCTGATACGGCGGGTTGCGGGATGTCTGGGTCAGAAATGCACAGGCCACTGCTCAGAATCCGATGTAATCTTGGTTGTCTTAAATTACCAAATTTTCGAGATATTGTTTGCATCCATGTTCAGGCGAACTTGTGCTTAATGACCGTATATAGCAAGAGTATGAGGACTGTTCAAGAAGTGGAGTAGTTCAGGGTAATCGGGATAATGACATGATCAGATTATGTAGTGTACAACACCAGGTCTCACCACATATGCATTGCAGAGGCACGAGAATACTCATATAGTCACTATTTCTAGTCTCCAACCTCGTAGTACCTGCGGGGCAACCAGGACAAAGGTTTAATCCCAATACATTCGTAATCGTACAGTAATGTGTCCAGAATTACTCCGTACCACCCTCAAATTAACCAAATAATCCTCAGCTCTCTCCACCCTACGACCGCCCCTCGGTGTCCCTAGTCCGAATGACAAAGATCTCTCTCCAGTTCCGGGGAAAAAAAAGGAATTTCACAATCGTACACATTATACAAACATCCATTTTTCATGAACATCGGTGTACGGTTTGATCAAAAGCAACCATATGGCACCAATAGACGCTCCAGTTCGGCTTCGGAGACTTCCTCTTCTTCCATTTGGACTGGATTTGTGACAGACTCGACAGGGGCCGATGCAGGCCCTACCTCGGTTGGTGGAGGAGTTGAACTTCCGCAAGGCCAATCCTTGCCATCTGGATTAGTTACAACCAGACCTCGACCCAAGCTCTTCCTTCTCGCCGCAAGCTTGACGAAATCCGGAGAGAAAATATCACTTTTCATATTCTCCTTCACAATCTTCTCGCTCTTCCCCACAGCGATAAACCCCGACCCCACCGGCGCAGTTCTATAATAATACCTATACCTTGCACCCGTTTTCCAATCCCCGGCATAAGGAAAGCTGCCATCATCCTCATTCTCTGTGTCCAACAAGGATTTCTTCTCTGAATACTTCCCCAATCTCTCCTTCCGAGAAGTTGTCCCTTTCCATTCCCACATCGGGGGTACCTTAAGCGTATTCCTTGCAGCGTTTGCTGTAGTTCCAAGAACACTCCATACCCCATCGGAGACACTCGAGAACCTGTGAAACATAGAGCGACGTGCATAGGAGTGCTTCCGAGTTTTTAGTGAAAATTCCATAGAGCGAATTGAATCAGTAGGGGAAGTAGCTCGTTCGCTAACAGTATCTTGAGTATCGTTCTCGTCACATTTGTTGACGGTGATAAAGGGGACGGAGTTGGAGCGGAGTCTTATTTCGTCAAGGGATTGCGTGAGGCGCAGTTGCAGGTCTTCTTCACTGATGTTTCCTAGACTGCCTACCCTTTTGTGTAGCATTAATCGAGGAAATACTGGTCCGACGAAGGCGGGCTGAGTGAGAGTTAGTAGGATTTATTGAGAAGCTATCAGAATGGCTTGAACACACCACTTTCGGTTCTCCTTCCGTAACCATGCCTTTCCCTGCAGGATTTGTAGTTATTGTCGTAGTTGGCGCTGGGGAGGACACTATAATCCGGGGCACTGTGGGCCCAGCGAACGCCGGCTTCCTAGTAGTTAGTATCATCGATCTCAACTCACGATATTTCAACTGACCACTTTCGCTTTCCCTTTGATAGCAGCCCTTTTTCCTTTGAAATTGACAGCCATTGCCGCAGAAGGTGCTGGTGAGGACGACTCAACCGCTGTCGCTGGGAGGAGGTCGATTGTCTCGCCGACGCTAATGGCCTGGCTATTCCCCATCCCGTCCAGCTTCTCATCCATATCGGTCTTCGCCTTGTTTTTCTGCTTCAGCCTCTCCTTCTTCTTCTCCTTCTCCCTCTTCTTCTCCTTCTTCAACTTAGACGACGACCGAGCAAGACTACCCTTATGTTTTCCCATTGCCCTTGCTAGCGGTTTCACTTCTTATGCCTATAGATGGCGAATTCCGAGTCCCGGAAATTGGGTTTTGGTGGTGACGATATTGTAGTTTGAGTGAAACACCTCCTGCGTTGCTGGCGCGAATGCGTCAATGTATATATGGCTATATTGAATCCCAGTTGCAAGTGTTTGTTAGAATTGCTAGATGAAATATCAACAACCTTCATTCAACCGATAGCTTGCCAAGACGTCACACCTTTAAGTTTTCGTTAAGTTCGGTCCCCGTATGCATCATTCCCTCCTTCCGTTTTACATGAACTGCTCAATGTTAAGTATGCAGTATAAATTCGTGGACTCCCCATATGTTGACACCGGTGACATCACAGTAACTCGGGTAGCTATAGTGTTCAGAGGCAGTTACCCTGGACGTGATTATATTGCTTTCCCCAAACCTTCAACATATCAGCTGGATTTCCTGGGCTTCCAAGACCAGATTTCATACTGCACAACCAAGATGATAGTCTGGTTGGCACAAGCCGCTCGTAGAGCCAAAGATGAATCATTAAATAATATATAGACTCGGATTGACTGCGCAGTACGTTGATAAATAAACAAACTAAACCGGCATAAGCAGACCAGACCTGGGAGGGTCTTCGCTGCGTAGTGGGAAAATATATCTTGGAATTAGAAATACGGTTCCCATATATTCTCCTACAAATCTCGGACGCCCTCACCATTGACCCCCCCCGTTCTTACCGAACTAAGACCTTCATGCGCTTTAGCCATCTCGTACACTATCTTCAACAACCCCTTCCAAAGGTTACTTCGCTGTATCAAAACCCCTTTTGCTCTTGTTCCTTTACTCCTCAAATATGTTTCTTTCTTTTCGTTTTTGCTTTTGACACTCCCGTTCACCATTCCTTATTCATGACTCACCAATACGTTACTTTCCTCTGCCCCTTCAATTTCATTCCCCGCATAGATCCATAACCCATCACCTGGCCGTTATTATTAACTTGAAAAGGGGACCACACGCAGTGATGGAATGTTGCACATATACTCAAAATATGCCGCGACCTGGTTCGGGCTAAACTAGAAGCTCATGCCACGGCCCTTATAGTGGGAGGCGGAGGTTGTGTTCTGGTGAATGAATAGGTGCAGGATTTATTTAGAAAGTGCCTTTGGCTAAATTTATTTCCTGTGAGGATTATACATTATACATGCAGTCGGTTATATTGTATCTAGGTGATATGATCGTTGTGAGGTAACCTAAGATCCTAAACTCCTCAAGGGCCATTAATTCGATCAAATTTCTCCTTACTCAGTCTCATGCCCTCCCCCATTTGGCAAGCTCATGCTCCTCAACCACAATCTCCGCCGAAGCTTCGAAGTGGATTGCAACTGTTCCAGAGGCTGTTTTATCTTCCTCCATAGTAGAGTTGTAGGTGTTTTGCCATATCGACGTAGCTTTCTAGATTTGCGGAAACGACATGCTCCTAAGTTAGACGTTTGCGTTTTATGATATTCTTGGACGAAAGAAGGTGAGAAAGAGGCTCTTACCTACAAGTTCGATGCTAACGAGGCTACTGTTACGGGTACCAGATCATCTTCTTACATACAGTGCAACCAAACTAGCCGTACCTGTTACACATTAATTCGCAACTACCTAGACTATAGGTCCGGTACTTGTTGAATTAGGTAAAGCAAATAATCGCCTCACGAGGCTACGCTTAACAAAGGATCACATAAAATGCCACCTAGGAAAAAAAACAGCCCAAAAAATTAATTTTCTTTGCCCACTAAGAGAATTGAACTCTTGATCTTCGCATTACAAGTGCGACGCTTTACCACTAAGCCAAGCGGGCTCTCATGACTTTTTCTTTCCATATTTCTCACTTCAACCCTGTCACTTCCTATAATGTTCGACCAACTATACCTAAATGGACTTGTTTTTTTTTTTTTTATATTAGTCTGATAGGCACAACAGTTTTTATATATATTCATATAACCAAGCTATTATTTACTAGCCTCGAACCCATACTCTTGAACGCTAGTGGCACTAACTAACATTTAGAGACTAGAAGCGAGGCTAATTATTCACAGTAAGAATTGTTCTTATGCATAGGTATGTATGTGTTCTGTTCCATTCACCAATTTTTAAATTTGCTAATCGATCATTCCATTGGCAAATCTAACCATTCTATTGGCAAATCTAATGACTTAGCAGTTGGAATATTTCATACATCAACTGTACTAAGACCCCATACTATTCAATAAGATTACATTAATATTCACCATTGCATACATTAATGTCATGATATATTCAATGTATGCTGCATTCAAAATAACCATTACGATCCACATTGCATACAAAACAAATGACCACACTAGTATATAAAACAAATGACCATACCAGTATACAAAAACAAATGACCGCGCCAACAAATAAACAAACCCCAAAAACAAGTAAAATTATCACCACATCAGCAATTGAATATGACAAGTAAAAATAAAAAATAAAAATAAAAAACCTATACAATGAGAAACAATTGAAAAAAATAAAAAACTAGGTAGGCTGCTATAGGACAATAGTATCTGATACATTGTCTATACTAGAATCTTTAGACTTATCTAACTGAGAAGAATGAAGTCTATATATTGATCTGGTATTAGTTGAAAGAAAACTTGATTCTGATATAGGTGAAAAAATAGCTGACGAACTAATAGAAAGGGAGAATGATGTAGAAATAAAAAGTGAACTTGAAATATGTAGAATTATTGGCTTAATATTGTATGCCTCTAAAGCAGCTAGATTAAGATATGCTTCAGCTTGATCATTGTCCTTGTACTTATGGTAATAATTAGTATACTTACTGCCAGACTTAAAGTATTTGCAGCATTTAGTCTGGCAAGTTGATGTATACATATAAGCATAGAATAGAAGAACTTCTATTATTTAAGAGTCTAAAATAGCTGCTCGGTAGAGAGTAATTACTAATGAACTATTTTTGAGATCTAGAGTTTCAGCTAAAAAAGGTATTAGTAAAAGAATTGACAATAAGAGAATATTCAGGATGTACCCAAAAGAGCAGAAACTTCATTAAGATCACTCATTGGAAATAACTAATCTAAGATACTATATTGCATTTGTAGCTGATAATGTTCACGATATGGCTGAGCAAGAATATGAGCATATAAACATAGATAATCTAAAGTACCTCGGTCCTCCTTAAGAATTCTTAGTGATACAATTATATTTGGAGCAAAGTTTTTAATAACAAATCACTTTGAATATTGATTTGCTATTTTATCTCAAGTCTTTTGTGTAACTTCGAGTATAGATTTCTTAACTTTTATTAACTCTATTGATATTGATAGAAGCAATATTGGCAGAGGCGATAGTAGTGGAGATAAAGCTAGTACAGGTGATATTGGTGGGGGCAGGGTTAGTAAGGGCAGGGTTGGTAAGGGCAGGGTTAGTAGAGGTGATATTGGTGGGGGCAAGACTGGCAGGAGTAATATTGGTAGGAGCAAGGTTAGCAAGGGTGATATTGGTGGAGATAATGTTGGTGGGGGTAAAGCTGGTAGGAGTGATGTTGGTAAGGACAAAACTAGCAAGGGTGATGTTGGTGGGGATAAGGCTAGCAAGGGTAATATTAGCGGAGGTAATGTTAGTGGAGGTAAGGCTGGTGGGAGTGATATTGGTAGGGGTAGAGTTAGTAAGGGCAGGGTTGGCAGAGATAATGTTGGTAGAAGTAATATTAGCAGAGATAATATTAGTAGAGGTAATATTAGCAGAGATAATATTGGTAGAGGTAATGTTGGTAGAGGTGATATTAGCAGGGGTAAGGCTAGCGAGGGTGATATTGGTAGGGGCAAGGCTGGTGGAGGTGATATAGTTAGGAGTATAATAGCCAGAACCTCATCCTTATTCTCATCCCTATTAATCTCATCTCCAACAATCTTATCCTCAATCTGGTTGATTTCCAAATTAGTACGTACTATAATTCATTCTTCCTATCGAGGCTTCCGATTAAAGAAGATCTCATATGCTATCTTGCTACCTAATAATGTGTGACTTTATCTATTTATACTAAGAACAACATCTGGTAGTGTATCACTCCAGCCCTGGCCAATATGATCTTCTAGCCAACAATGTATCTTTGCCTTCATCACTGCATTCACTTGCTCAACTAGCCTCTGAGTCTGTGGATGCCTTGGCTTACCATTGATGATTATAATACTATATTTCTACAATATTATTAATAGAATTCCTTTAAACTCTATCCTATTATCATACTGTAATATTTTAGGAATGCCAAAATGCCCTAGCTATTTAGTAATATACTTAGTAACATTCTCTGCTATCTTATTAGGTAAGGCATAGAGAAAGGAGTATTTACTGAAGTGATCTTTTATATGTAAGATCCATTTATTTCTATTATATAGATTTGCTCGCATATCTACTAAATCAATTTGAACCTACTCTAGAGTATAGTTAGATTGAATTGGTTTGAGTAGAGCTCATGTATTAGATGGTCAAGTTTGAGTATATGTACTATAATGCTGTAATAAACAAATAACCTCCTCCTGTAAAATACTATAGAAGTATTCCTTGACTTGATAAAACGTCTTTTGGTGTCCTCCATGCTGACAATATAGATGGTACTCTAAAACTATATAGTTTACCTAATCTAATATAATAACTTAGCTGATAATGAATTAATAATTAGTACAAATACTATCCTATATTATGGAAAGAATTTACCATTATTGATAGACCCCTTTTATCTTCCAAAAAAGTATCCTATCGATAAGCTCAAAGTAGGCATGGGTATTATACTTCCAATTTAATAGCCATACCTTTACCTTTTTATCCTGAACCTGAGTTGAATCTATTTTTCTATCCAGGAAGGATAAGAAAGTAATGTACTAGTTATATTACTTAATTAAAAACCAGCTGTAATTGTAGTTGCACTACACCCATATAAGGAACTTAGTCTGGATCTAATTGGAAACAGTAGTGGGCATAGACATGTTTGTTTTTTAGGTATAGAGAAGCAGTGGGTAAAAGCAGTGGGTATAGAGAAGTAATGGGTATAGACATAAGTAGGCTCGAGATAAATCTTATTTAATTAATAGAAGGTTACAAAACCGGAGAATATATATACATGGAAGTACAGTATAGTTCGTGTACCCTCCCCCAGTGACTAATACTACTCCTTTGCTCTCCTGCTAATTAGTGCTTACCCTTCAGCTCCCCTACTGGTTTATGCTGCCCCTTACCGCCACTAGCTAATACTGTCCCTTACCCCCCCTGCTAGTTAGTGCTATCCCTTATATCCTCCACTAGCTAGTGCTGTACTTTACCTCCCCCGCTAGCTAGTACTGTCCCTTACCTCTTCTGCTGGCTAGTGCTGTCTATTACCTCCCCTACTGGTAGGTGCTGTCCCTTACCTCCCCCACTAGCTAGTACTATCCGTTATCTCCCCTGCTAGTTCGTGCTATACCTTACCTCCCCGCTAGTTAGTACTATCCCTTACCTTCCCCACTGGTTGGTGCTATCCCTTACCTCCTCCACTAGTTAATACTATCCCTTACCTTCCCCACTAGTTAGTACTATCCCTTACCTCCTCTACTAGTTAGTGCTATCCCTTACCTCCTCCGCTGGCTAGTGCTGTCCCTTACCTCCCCCGCTGGTTAGTGTTATCCCTTACCTCCCCCGCTAGTTGGTACTATCCTTTATCTCCCCCACTAGTTGGTACTATCCCTTACCTCCTCCACTAGTTAGTGCTATTCTTTACTTCCTCTGCCTGTTCGTACTGTCCATTACCTTCCTCACTAGTTTGTGCTATCCTTTACCTCCTCTGCTGGCTAGTGCTGTCTATTGGCTCTTCCACTAGTTTATGCTGTACCTTACTTCCTCCACTGGTTGGTGCTGTCTCTTATCTCTCCTGCTGGTTAGTGCTATCCTTTACCTCCCCTGCTGGTTTATACTATACCTTACCTCCTCTACCGATTGGTGCTGTCTGTTACCTCTCCTCCTAGCTAGTACTATCTCTTACCTCCCTCACTGGCTAGTACTATCCATTACCTTCCCCGCCAGTTCGTACTATCCATTACCTCCCCTGCTAGTTCGTACTATCTGTTACCTCCTCCACTAGCTAGTGCTATCTATTACCTCCCCTACTGGTTCATGCTGTACCTTACCCCCCTCGCTGGTTGATGCTATCCATTACCTCTCCTACTAGTTCATGCTGTATCTTACCCCCTCTACTGGTTCGTGCTATACCTTACTTCTCCTGCTAGTTGGTGCTATCCCTTACCTCTCCCACTGGCTAGTGCTGTCCCTTACCTCTTCCACTAGCTAGTACTATCCCTTACCTCTCCTCCTAGCTAGTACTGTCTCTTACCTCCACTACTAGTTCGTACTGTCCCTTACCTCCCCTCCCTCACTTTTGCTAATACTATCCCTTACCTCCCCTAGTAGCTAGTACTGTCTCTTATATCCTCCACTGGCTAGTATTATCCCTTACCTCCATTACTGGCTAGTGCTGTCTATTATCTTCCTTGCTAGTTTGTGCTGTACCTTTACCCTCCTATTGGTTCGTGCTGTCCCTCACCTCCTCCGCTAGTTATTACAGTTACTTACCTCTCCCGCTAGTTTGTGCTATCCCTTAACCCCCCCGCTAGTTGGTATAATTGCTAATTTCCCCTGCTAGCTGGTGCTGTACCTTACCTCCCCCACTAACTAGTACTGTCTATTACCTCCTTGCTGGTTAGTGCTATCCCTTACCTCCCCTGCTAGCTAGTACTGTCCTTTACCTCTCTCACTAGCTAGTGCTGTCCCTTACCTCTCTTGCTG